ATATATATATATATATATATACTGTGCACAAGTATCAAATCGAATCTCCAACCTCGAGATCATCGAATTTCAAGCACGACTCAACCAGACGCCAGGGCGTTAAACATCCTTCTCGCAATCATCCGGTTCACGAACAAACGGAAGTCGTTGAAACCGCGGCGAGCGTTGGCCGGAATCGAATTCTCATTTCACGAAAGAGAAGAGGGGATATGGAGAGGAGAGGGGGGAGGGATGAACAGCCTCTGGAAGATAGCTTCGAATTCTCATTCACGGGCGATCATTCTCGGGATCAGACAGGGAGTTTCACCGATCGTTCACCTCTTCTCCCACAAGCTGTTCTCCCGTTTCATCTCGTTTTATCCGTTATTCGTCCATCTTCCTTGAGATGAAATTCTCATTGCTTGCCTCCTTGTTTGTCTCTATCTTACAGATTTCGAGGCCGACCAACGGATTCGTATTTTTCCGAAAACTCTTTCAACGTGCTGACAGGATCGATTTTCGAATATCGAAACGTGTTCGTATTTCACAACATTATCGTCGTTCCACCATGAATTAACGCGTCGTTTATAATTTTGACGATGGACAGGGACACGGTGGAACGATATTTTTCATCCTACACAATCACGATAATTTATTTCCATCAATGCGGATAATTTGGAAAAGTATCCATTAGAATATATTTCTTAATTGTTGATGTGTACGATTTTTCACTCTATCTTCTTCTTCTAAATCACAAATGAACGCGAACAATTATATTATCGGATCTTTTTCCGTAAAATACATCGAACGGAGAGATACTTTTTCTCGTCTGAACTGTATCTTCCCAAACTTTACAAATTTTCCGAACGAAAATCAGTGGATTAAACGATTTCGGAGGATCCATCAGCACGTTGTTCGATGAATCTCAACACGTGGCGTAAAACTCGAAATTGTGCCATGCAGGAGAACGTCGAATCGATCGTGAACGATGTTGCACGACTTCTCTTTTCCTTTCATCCGTCCGTCTCGATGTTCACGTCGTGCATCACCGCGACGACGAATCGGTGGAGAAAAAATAAAAAATCTTCTCGCCTCGGCGGAAATCGAAAATTACCGTGCTATTTTTCGAGCAACACCGTCGAGGGAGGACGTCGAGTCAAGCGTACTCGAAATCGTGATGCAAACTAAGTAAGAGACGTGCATACACACACACACACACACACACACAAATCCGGGAAAACAACCGGAAAAGGTGGAGTTTGTGTGTATGCACGATCCACACGTTGCCTCCACGTTCGACCTTGTTCGTAAAGTGACGTCGATGGCTGGCAATATTGAATATTGCGATATCTTCCATGCTTTGTATCGGCTTTTCCCCCATTTTCCCTTCCTCCCCCTCTTTTTTTTTTATCCCTCATGCGTGACTTTTACGCGGCGAATAAAATCCTACGATTTCGATTCTGTTGTTCTGCAAAGCCTCGTTTAGAGAGCCTGTTTCGTTCATGAATTATGCATACGGTAGTAACGACGCGAGTGTAGAAATTATTCAAATATGGAATAAAATTCTTTTTTTACGATTCTAAATAATAATATATTTAGAAGCGTAAGAGAAGAGAGAGGAAAATCTGATCGATTTAAGAAGAATCAGGATCTATTTTTCTAGCCCTGTTTCACGCGCGATAAAAATTTGATCAGTTAATCCGAGAAATCTATCTCCGGGAATATGAAATATGAATTTCATTTAACTCTGGTGGCTGGGATCGACGAGCCTCGACCCCGTCGTCTGAATAATGTAACGTCCAACATCCGTCCCTTTATCCCTCCGACTATCAATCTCACGGTTAACGAGAATCTACTAAAGTTACGATCTGTGCAACAACTTCGAATTATCGATCATCGATCGTTTGCATCGTGTTTCGCCCATTTTAAAACATCTCCGTTGCTTTCGAGATGAAAATGCGAACGTTCCACATTCCAGGATCGCGATGAATCGACGAACTCGACTTACCTTCAATCCACTCCCTCTCGTC